ACTGCCGGAACAAACTGGGTATGGTGTGACTGGGCCCTAACTGTTTTGGGAGACATTGGGGGGGAACTCATAAAAACTGGAGCAACCAGTCAGTTCCTCAACTCAGTTTTGCTCAGTTAAGCCAGGGGTGGAAAAACTCTGTCCCTCTATCTGTGATGAAACTGCAATACCCATCATGCATCTGACTTTGGGAGTTATGCTTCTGGCTGTGTGAAATTTGCAATGCCTTATGGGGTTTGTAGTTCCACAACAGTTGGAGGGCCGTTGTTCATATCAGTGTGCTGGACTGTGTTAGGAATCAAGTCTCAGCAGTTGCAGGTGGCGTGGATTGATCGCGCAAGTGCAGAACAGCTGATCAGGTCCAGAATTTTCACAGGCTATTTGCCTGTATTGCACATGTGTGGGGAAGCCAGCGGGTGCAGAAATTTCACAGGCGAGGCGCCTGCGGCCACAAAGCTTGCCACATAATTTATTTATATTTCTTTATATAAATATTTCTTTAGTTCTTTTGTAATTGTTATTATGTGTTAAGGTTAGTGCTTGAGTACAGATGCAAATTATGTCATGCATCATCTTTTTATGGCGCACAACATCTCTGGTAAACAAATTTGTCACAACACAAATAGTTTTACAGTTTTGTAACGCATATATAGTTTCATAATATGGACTTTCTTGCACCATCATCCTCTTGGGGCTTTCTGAACACCTCTGTTGTGCCAAAAATTGACTCATTTTATGAAACTTGTGGGGGGTAAAGCCGCACAAACTCTTGTATGTAACCTCCATCTTCGGCTGTAAAGATGTTCAAAGTGTGCGGGAAAAGCCATTTAAAACCGTCCACCTGCCCTCAAGTGTGAGCTGTCCAGCTGTTCATTTACAACAGCCGGACGGCAAGCAGCATGCTATGGGCACATAATGGTGCGATGTGTTTGTACAGTGTTGCACAGAACTATGCGATTAACCACTGTGAATGGACCCTTAAACTAGGATTGTTGCCAGCAGGAACCATTCATGTTAAACTGCGTTGGGAACACAGCTGTAATTGCACTAGACAGTTTTGTCTTGGGGCCCCATTCACACTTGGTATGAACATGTGAAAAGTGCGTGTTGCAATTGTGGTATTATTGCTAATGGCACAACTAATGCATCGAACGAGACCCGTAAGAAAAACTTTTGAGGCTCACAACCTCATAGTGTCGGGTATGTAGTGCAGCCTATTGAAATGAATGGATTGCCCTATGGGAACGTGCAACGAACTAGGCAAAAACACTGTGCGCAGAACGTATGCTCCAACTGTGAATTGAGTCTGTGTTAATGGGCTTTTGTTTGCTTCAAGCAAGGTTTGCTTCCTTGCACACATCTATAGACAAACCCACTTGAAGCAAGTCAAATGCAGGTCAGAAGAAAGTCAAATGCACCTGTCAGTAAATTCTGAATGATCTTAGAAGTGTCTCAAACTGATATCATCCACAGCTCACCAACGCAGGTCCTTTCTTTAATCTAGTTTTATAAATGAGGCCCAATGTTGTACTTTTCCTATGGAACGCACATAATAAAACTGGGGAAAGGAGCATGCAGGTTAACAATCAATGTACAACAAAGCTCATTATTTAACAAAGTTTGTTTTTAAAACAAAATCAAACAATATATATAATACTAGTCTGCCTGGTAAAAACAAGACACTTTTCTCTAGCATTTATAAATCAGCCTACCTGGTACTGAATATACTTCTTTTTTTTTCTTAGGCCCCATTCACACATGCCCATTGCATAGTTGCTCAGTGCAGACCTAACCCATTGACAAGCTGAAATCTTTTCTTTTTTTTTTCCCAATAGGCCCAGTTCATTCTGTGTTGGTGTGCACTGGGTGACAATGGAACATGCTGCATTTAAATGCAGCATACGCACTACAACGTGTCACAGTATGCTGAAAGGAAAACAAAGTAGTTAAAAAACACATGCTAACGCAATGCGCATTAATGAAGCATGTCAAGGCACGCCAACTTAAAGGGTTTCTAAACCCTCAGCTTTTTTTGCATATATCTACTGCTAGCGAGCAGTAGATATATGCAAAACGTTTTTTTTTTAAACGCTTTAACAGCGGTTTAAACTTACCTGTGTCTTCCCTGCACGGGCGGCCACAAAGCATCTTGGGGCCGGCGCATGAACAGTTCACATTTTCGGCCGAGACGCGAGAAAGACACAAGGTAAGTCTGTGGATGCAGACACCGTGGGACAGGAAGTGCCAGCAAGGATAGAGGAGTCAGCGCTGGATCGGAGAACCGCAGCAGTGCTGGAGAGAAGGCTAAAAACGACAGGAAAGAAGAAGATGATCGGATTAAGAGACATCATTTAAGGTAAGTGCTTTCATTAACTTTGGGGTGAGGGAAACTTTTTTTTGCCTTTAATGTCAAATTAAGTATGTTCATTGCACATGAACGCATTGCACATGCTGTGAATTCAGCCTTACTTTAACGACTAAAATTCAGATCTTTCAGACCATGTTTCACTCATACTCATAGGTTTTAGGCCCCTTGGGTGGTCGGGTCGGATGCCCAATGCTAGTCAAGGGCCAGCCTTGTGTAAACGGACGTGCATCCCTTTACCCACGGCTTCACCCAGGTCTAGGAAAAACAAAGGGATCAGAGACCATTTTGCTGCACCTGAGTATGCCGGATCAGTGGTAATTTGGTTTAAATGGACACATGTCCGTTTAAATCCGATTCCTCATAGACCAACATGGGGTCCCTTCATTTTAGTTTTTTCCTCCATCGCAAGATGCAGGAAAAAACTGTACGGACCCGTACTGCTCCGCCCGTGTGAAAGGGGCCTAAAACACTCTTACATGCCACAGCCCCCACCCCAAACCGCCTGCCCTGTCTTATTTGCTGTATTTGGTTTACATTTGAATTTGACGTGGATCCGCCCGCACAGCCGTGTCATCCATTCATAGATCCTATCTGTCCTTGTGCAGACTACCCGTTTGTCACCAAGACAGGGAGACTTGTAGATCTCAATGGAGCACAAGTGTGGTGACATCACAGTACTTGTAGTCCAAGGATTACTTCCTTCAGCTGCATAACAGAATGTTTGTGCCTCCTGTACAGACCTGGGGTTAGAGGAAGAGTCTGCGGGAGCCTGGACATTGCACCTGCCATCCACTGATCGTGGTTGCGATGCTTTGCAGGCTTCAATGCAAACAAATGCACACATTGCACTTGTGTGCATTTTTAAAAGAAGTTCCAAATGTTGGACTATGACTTTAATTCTTATGCTGTTCATACACATGGCATGTTTGTAGCAGTTTCACCCACGTTTAATAGCAAAGGGTTTGCTACAGGTCAAGACAACCTACCACCAATAGTTTCTACTGAACTGTGAAACAATTGAAGCTGTTAGTGGGCTGCTTTGACCCATTCAAGGCTTTGGGGGGAATTTATCAAAACTGGAGCAGACAAAATCTGGAGCAGATTTGCACTGCAACCAATCAGCTTCTCTGTCTCATTTTCAAATCTTACCTGAGCAAACTGAAGAGACATGCTGATTGGTTGCCATGGGCAACTGCTCCAGATTCTCTCTGCTCCAGTTTTGCTAAATTCCCCCCCTTGTGTGTGATGTATTACTGGTGGAAAATGTATAAAAGGGTCTGAAATTTGCTACATAAGGGCCCATTCACATTATGGCTTCATTTATCTGCCGCACGAATGCCATTCACACGGCACTGGCGCTGATACGTATA